CTATTTGTATGTCTACCCTTAGATAGTAAGAACAGCTCCTTAAAAAAGAACTAGACTCTTTACCCTTCAAACTTGTCACTGTTGCAAGAATCTTCTTGTAACTGTATCTATGTGACAAATGAATCTCTTTAACAAACTAGACTCTGACTATTAGTATTACACAGCTTGAAGAAGTGAAATTTTTGGCATGCACAGACTGTGATGATCCATACAATTCTTGCAATTGCAACTGCAATGAAAAACATGACAATTTGTGCATCAAAAATATTTCTCTGTACAAGGAACTCCAGTCTAGATCTCCTGACACAGTTGGACAACCTGTGCAAGTTTCCAATACTCAAAGTAACACTCTATCCTGTGGCATTGATGATTAGAGCCAAGTGTAACTATACCTCTACTTAGAGCTGGAACATTGTTCTCTAGATTTTCAAATATCAAATCAAATTTAGATATCATCTTGGAAAAAACTCTTCCTTACAAACATAAAAACTAAGGATTATAGTACAATTAATATGTGTAACTGGCTATCCAGTCTGTTTCTTCATCTGTTCAGCTGAAATGTAAACTCTTCTTCCAAACTGGCTTCATCAGTGTAGTTATGGACAAGGCAGCATCTGTATCTGTATCGCCGGTATAGCCGCCTTTCGGCGTAACACACCAGCTTTGCAGGCACGCGGCACGGCGGCAGCTGGCTACATTACACCGACTTGTTACACCTAACCCTTGAACATCTAATTCTAGGCATTTTTTAAAGCTATCTAATGACAATGCCCCTACTGTAGTACTTGGTGACAGCGAGTTCCACTATGGGATAGTTCTAGGAAAGAATGAATTGATATACTGAAAGAACTGTACTGTACAAGAAAGAGTTGTACTGCTACACAATTGTACATTTGTACTGTACATTTTCAAGGTGAAATAAAGGTTGAAAAAAAAATTCTTTAACACCTCAATCCTTGGTTGATAACTCTGGTACTAGTAGGCGTGGCTATTTCTTGTTCTCTTCTGGGCTGGTATTTTAGTAATTGGGACCTCCACCAGTTTATAAGTCATTTTGTCCATCATGCATAGTCTGGAAGAAGCATCATATCACTTTTCTCCCCTTCCTCCAAACATCACAGCAGCAGCCATCTCCAAACATTCAAGTACACGGACAAGAAAACATGCTCACAGCCTCTTCAACAACCCTCCACAGGGGAGAGGCGACAGTAGCTGCCAGCATTTTTGTTCCACGGACTTTAAGACCATGATCCGAGGATTTATTTTTTGTTTGAAGTTCGGGGAGTAAGTGACATGGAAAGGGAGTGACCCTATGGAGCAGGAATAACAGAGCTATGGGGGAGAAATTCCACACAAGCTGATGTAAAACCCACTCTCAAACATATCAGGAGATTCCGATTCTAAGAAAAAAAAACACAAACTTGCCCTGGAACAGCATCAACAATGACCAAGGCTAGTCTCTACCAGACTAACTACGCTGGCTATACATAGGAGAATATTTACCAGGGGAGTTTGGCCGCCTTGTAGGTTTCCCTTGGCCAATTTCACTCTCTTTTTTGCCAAATTCTACGATCCATATTCCCGTAGAAAGGCCTGGTGGAGGCTAGACCAAGGCAACGACTCAACCTAAGGCAACACATCCTAGATCTGTTTCTTAAACTGTCTGTCACAAGAGATATAGACTACATACCAGTAACTCTTACTATTGTAGACATTTTGTCCTCTAATTCATGACTTAGACAAAGTGTAAAGTGCACAGCTTGGTTCTAACTGAAAACCCTGACAATGAACTTTGACACGAAGAATTCAATAGTCATAACAACCCAGAAGCCGTTTGATGGAAATGGCAGACACTTCCCAGAAAGGGGAAATGCCAGGAAAAATTCCAGGAAAAACTGCAGTCTTTAAATCAGTCAGCAGTCAGTTGTTAGCAACCTTTCGTTTCTGACCTACATGTTAGTTTTAGTGTTTACTTTTGGAGTCCAGGTACATGTAGGTCATGATAATCATGTGTTAGATGCATCTGTAAGATGGGATTCTTAAAGTTAAATGGTTGTAGTGTCATCCACAAAAGCTGACACAAATCTTTTTTGTGATTGGTCATCCCCATACCTATACATGTCAACGCTTTTGATTGGTCATAACCGAGCAACTGATTTCCAGTGTGTGTTGTCTTATAAAGAAATTATTTCATTTCAACTTTTGTGGAGTACAACTACAACAACTTAGTACAAGAATCTTTCAGACATGGTTTCCATGACACAATTCTTCAGGGGGATATCTGTTTCTTCAAGATTTTTAAGCATTGAGTTACTACAGATATCACAATATCTACATGTATGCAGTAGAGCCTGGTAAACAAGGTAGGAGTAACTGTCTGGAAGTCTGCCCAAGATGGCTGACGCAAACTTCCTCCGAGTGCTGAGGCAATGTCTAGCTCATTTCTGTGCCAGAACGCTAGGCCAGGTCTGGTACATATATTTTTGAATCAGACTCATAGCTTTCTAATACTTACACTTGAAAAGAGACTTTCTTTTGACTAGATGTCTCTTTTACTGGGGCCACAGAGTGAAGTAACATTAATGGTTGAATCTTCTCTATGCCAGCAAGAGAGGGTGAAGCAAATTACGTTTGGTTAACATTCTTCTAACTAATCTGTCTTTCAACTACAGGTCACCATTTAAATGTCAACTTCAGTCTGTTTATCCCCTATAATACACCTGTCTTAGTGCTGTATTTTTTTTCAGTAATAGCTCCTCAAACCAAGCACTTTCAAGTCATTCCCTGGTCAATTGTGTATGCTTCTTTTGATATAAACGAAAAACTTAAATTTTGGGATATACAACTGTTCTCTATGCGTTCAGACAAAGCAGGGTACTGTATATAATAGTACAGATATGACCACCATATACACATACAAACTTCATTAAAATGTCTCGCCACAAAACACACAGTACTATTACTACTAATCATGACTTGGGAACTAGCGTTACAGGTGGAAATAACCAATTTTTAATGAGCGTACCAACCATGCATTGTAGGAAGAACCTACACTTTCTGTTACAGTTCAGATAGGTATACAGATGAAAAAAGTATGACTGTGAAAGCAGCATCTTCCTTTCTGATATACACTCATGATGTGGTCAGATTATTGATAACAGATCTTACCTCTCAAAGCTCAACATTCCTTAGCTATGACATCATGTGGAAACAAAAATAGTCTGGATAGTCCAGGTAAGAGAACATATCATGAGGGAGATGAGAACAAAAAGTTTCCTTCCTCAGAGACATCCCCATGTTGATCAAATTTGTATGCTTTTAGGCTGCTTCCTCCTAGAGATGGAATTTTGGCTGCAGGGCACACATGTGGAAATTCACACGTCCCCAGTGGTACTGAGATGGTATAGAGTAACCACTGAAGCACTGCCAACATCAAACACAAAAAAGTTCCTTTGTGTTTCAGATGAAAATATTTGCCCTTTTAGTGCCACTTTTGTAACATGCTAGAAACATGCAACTATGTACAGTAGAACTATAGTAGAACTATTGAATAAAGGGTTTGTTTTCTGAGGTAACATTTTCTGTTTTCATCCATATTGTTAGATTTTTATAGACATCTGAACTACTGTATTCAGCAATGAAACCTGTTCAAAGTAAGAAGCAATACCAAACTACACAACAGATGTTTGAATTTATAGTGGTAATTATTTTTGCTGATGTTTCAGTGAAACAATAGCTTTCTTTCCAAACAAAATTAAAGTACTAGAGTAGTAGAGTAGTAGTATCCAGTCTTCTATTATACTGCTGTTAGAACAATAATTGTAATATACAGCAAATTCAATGAATAACAAAGATACTGTGTATGTTATAATAAAAATCAAGAGCCCATAATTCTCCAATTCAGTGTGTAAACATTTCATCTAGAGATCTATATAAAAGCTGTTGATTTTTACTTTTAGAAATTTGCAAATAACACTATATCCTCTACATGTTAGGGAGAAGGACTACTTTTGCAAAATTATTCGTAAACATTTCCTACTTCAATTTTAGGCCATCCTTTATTTGGACTTGACTTATGTTACCGAAAAGCCTATAGTGCTGTGTGGTAGAACATAATTAAATTGGACAGTTCAAAATTGTGTGTTTTATATAAACAACATCAAAGAGTAAGAAACAAGATTATTTAGGGATATAGCAGGAACTACATGACATTAGGCTTGTCAAGACAAGTGCTGATATTTTGTCACCACATTTAAAAGGCAATCCTTGTGATTATGTCAATAATGTTTCTTTCATCTAGAATTCTCCAGAAAGAATATCTACTGGCATTTTTAACTCTCATAACACTTATGTCTCCTGAATGCCCAGCACCAGTATCTGTTGATTTATTCTTGTTAAACAGGACAATTGAAGTTGAAAATGTTTTACAACAACACACATAAGAGGTATCACCAAACAAGCTGATGTGTACAACAGTTGGCTATTGTTGATGCCTGTTGTCTGCCACAAGTTTTCTTTCTCCCCTGCCTTATCAAATGTTTTGTGACCCTGTGTGGAAAACTTTGGGGTCAAACTACACAACACGGCCTGCGTACAATGGCTGTTAGGTTGGGTGAATACTACGGGTGGATACACTCAACAAGAAGTACACCACACAGAACAATGGGGAAACACAACACGGCAGCAGGGGTTGTGTTGTCAGTACATGGCCCACACTCTGACCCTAGCAAGATAGGAACCCTGTCTGTACAGACTAGTACAGGGTCTAGACTGGCTCTAACTTTGGTCAAATGTCCTGAAGTTTCATGTTTCTGTTGTACAGTGTATGAGGAACAATAATTAAGGTTTACATACAGGACTTAACCATGCGTGACCAGGTATGGCATACCTGTGCCGTTTCACCTGGTGTCAATATCAACAAGTTAGCTAATCACCCAACATCTGCTTGGAGATTTCCGAGTTAGCAGGCGAGTATACCGTGTTTTGAAGGTGCAACTCACCTTGGAAGTAGTTTTTGTTGCGTAGGTAGCTGACACTGAGGCGCAGGATGGAAAGTTTGTCGAGTTTTGAGAGGACATCGTCAGTGAAGGGGAGCATGGACGCCAGGCGGTCCAGCTCGGCGTTCAGACGGTCCCGGTGCCGCTTGCTGGGGTTGGTCTTCGCCGGGTCTTTAGCCACGGCAGGTTTGCTACAAAGGAACGGAAAAACGTATAAACTAGAAAAAACGGGCAGGATTTTGTGTTCTACAGACTATAGTTTAGTCTTGAGCCGCACGTTTGGATGTAAACTGCCGTTGGTTTACGATCGCGTGCCAACACAGCGGATGGAAGCGACTAAAAATAAAACTACGGGAACAAAATGGCCCCGAAAGAGTGGAGCTACTACCTTACCTTTTCACGGGTCTTCGCCGCTTTCTGCCCGCGTACAGACTGCTCATGGTGCCGAGAAGGTCGCTCACACCGCCCGACGGTTCGCCACAACAAGTTGGACCTGCAAATTATGGGGAAGTCAGATCGGCTTTACAAAAACCACAACTGCCGTCTTCGGGACACTCCGACAAACTTTCTCTCCCTTCAACAAGCGATCCCGTCCTAACTTCCAGTCACACGGAGTGTTACTCCAGGCAAGACTGCTCTCTGTGTCTTCACAAACAATAAGTCTGCTGGGTGAGGGAATGAGGAGAACGAAAACTGGAGTAAGTTTAGTTGGAACGTTTCTCCACAGCAGGGCGGTATGGCCTCGTCCCCCTCCCTGTGCCAGACTCCATGACTGAAGCCCTCTTTAATTTATGCGAGTAGGCCAACAGATAGCTCCCCCGCAAGGACATCATCATTTCATTATTTACCTTCCTTATGTCCCGCCCCCTTCAACTCTACTTCTCAAAAACACTACAGAAATTCACAACTATTATCAAGAGTTGTCAAATTAGCATGTCAATCAAATAAGGACCTGTTGGCTGGCTTGCTTACAAGTGCGAGACGACCTCATTTACATGTAATTTGTTTACCCAACACTCGTGCATACATTATCAGGCACTTGGCGGGATTGTGATGGGCCGGATACCAGACCTGACCCTACAAGAGTGAACACGCGCGCTGACTAGTTAGGGAGATCTGACACCACACAAAACGGTCTATTATAAAAGGTTTGGTAGTATATTTTCAGAGCTGTGTTTTTTAACCCGCGGTAAAGAAAACTTGTCTTAAACGGCCGAAACAATATCTAGAGCCTGATCTCCAGAAAGATAATATAAAGTGTACACAAGAAGAATTTTTGTAATTTTTAAATTACAAAAATTCTTCTTGGTGTGGTAAAGCATAAAGTAGGTAAGTGCAGAAAGTCACAACATTCAATCAACACACACAAACACTCGAGACTATTAGTATTACATTTTTTAATTCACCTCGATGAAAGAGTTTCATGAGACGAATTGTTTAGTGTTTGTATGTCTAATGTGTTTCCACACACTGTGGCCAGCAATAATTTAGAACTTAGTATATGACTGGATTGTGACGATGTTTGGTATGTGGGTATAGGTCCTTGTTTTCAAAATGATCGCCCATCTTGCTGCGGCACGGGATAATATGCTATCGGTACAGGAAAATACTTATACGCCTTACTTCGCGTACTGTTTGTGGAATATTTAATTACATGAACGTATGCATTGAAAAATTAGGGTAAAGTTAACAATAGAAAAAATAAACTAGACAAAACAGGGAAGAAGAAATGGCAAAAGACATCAAACAAATCTGACATAATTATAACGTTTCTCTGTGACATTTTCCAGAAATGCTGCTCCAAGGCCACATGCATATTCCGGGGCTGATTTACCGTTTACATGGCTACAGACAAAACAGTTACCAACAAAAGAAGGAAAGATTCTAAAGAAACTCCTTTTTTCAGCAGATTTGTCCTGCTGTGCCCAGTAGCAACTTGTACAAACATCGCGCCAGGCAACGTGCAAACATTACACAATCCTGATAGCGGAATAATAGACTGGAGGGTAATTCACAACCTAATCAATATCAATCAGCGCTCAGTCAACAGGGAGGCGGGCGGGTATGGGCGGGACTGGGGAGGGGGTTGAACAGGGTTTTATAGAAGTAGTACGCCATCTGTGGCTGGGACAGTAATTGGAAAAAGAATCTTAGAGGTGGAAAAAGATGTATCCGTGTTAGTGTACTTAATGTCGTAAAGATATAATTTGTACTGTCTGTCTGTCTGTCTGTCTGTCTGTCTGTCTGTCTGTAAATCTGTTTCTAGGTCTCTCTATCTCTATCTCTCATTCTCTCTCCCCCCCTCTCTCTTCCTCCCTCTCTCTCTCCCCTCTCCCTCTCCTTCTCTCTCTCTCTCTCTCTCCCTCTCGCTTCAGTAAACCTGTTGGATGTAATCAATTGGCCTAAATGTTCTTCTATTTTCAGCATTTGAATTTTCATTTTCTTTCCCACTCCATAATTCTCATACCTTCATTTCACTTGATAATGACAGAGCAACTCTATCGTCTCAACTGGCAAAACTGTATCTGCTAAAAATCTGTATATGGCATGTGGTAGCTCAATTATGCATCTTCTAAAGTGATAAGACGGCTCCATACCTCCGGATGCTAATCTGATACAATTCTAACTCTCTTTTGTATATCACCACAGTACGATGTTTCTGTGGAACTCCATTCTTTCTCACAGGCAGCGGCCCGGCCACCCTATACATGTACCTTCCCTCTCACCAAGGAGCTTCCATCACTCGACATCAAATTTCTACAACTCTTTCACACGCCTGATTTTTTCCACTGTCCTTTCTCATCTACATGTCTTGCCTTGGTGACTACAAATAAAGCACATACACCAATGTTGCAGCAAGCGTTCCTAACAAATAGCATACATAATGGCCACCTAACGCATGTGAGCTAGCCTCTACCAGGCACCGCGGATCGCCTGGCCGAAATAAAGGGATAGTATACCAGAGAAGGTCGCAAATTGGATCTTTACTCTGGCCGGATCTTCTCTGGTATACTATCCCTTTATTTCGGCCAATTTCTACTATTTTTCCAGCGATCCGCGGTGCCTGGTAGAGGCTACATGTGAGCGGTGTGGTAGATTAGTACAATCTTTATACCTCCATGGTACAATAGCCTTGTACATCGGGTCCACGACTTGCTCTTTCGACCCGTGAGGTAAAATGTTAATAACCGTAGGTTGCTTGGATGTAGCAAAAAAAATGGTAGAATTTTAATACTTGCCGCCACTCACTACTATCTCCTTTTCGTATTTGATATGTGAAACACACGATCGCGAGTACTTACTGGACTATTGTGGGGTATCGTCACCTGTAACCAGAAATGCGAATGAATTTGCCTTTCGTACCTCGGAAATATTGTCAAAGTTCTTATATTTCAATTGGGCAAAACGTCATTAAAGAATTAAGAGTATATTTGTTCTTCCAGAAGTATTCAATCTCACACAAATGCTACATGAAATGCCTCGGAGAAAAACAATTGGAATATCATCATACGAAAAGTACTAACGTCATGTACATGGAAAAGCTTTAGACAGTATTAAAAATTTGATGATAATTGAAAAGAAACTCAAATGATACAGAATACAGTTTGATCATACAAGTATTCGGAACTGAATTCGAACGATCATGTGAAAATTTACATGACCCCTTAACGTTTAATTCTTTTCACATTTGTTGCACATTGTTACTGTGGGTGTACGTGACACATTCGGGCGTTGACTACGAATAAAGCACACAACAATATTGTAGGGTGATCCTACTATTCCTAGCTAGTAGCGTGCACACATGGCCACCGGACACATGTGAGCGGTGCTAGTGGTAGACTAGTACCAGAGCCTTTTACCCCCTGGTTACGGACATGAAATCCAGGAAAAAACAGTTTTCCATCAGAATGTACAAACATCAGTGCCTTTCTGAAATCACTAATACGTCGCCCTTTGTCCATTCGATGTCGTCTGCCATATATAATACAGGTGCACTGTACCAAAGTCACGCCTTTATAATAATCCGCCCCGCGAACTTTGCACACACGCAGCTGATAAAACCTGAGCATGCCATATGTACTGGAAAACTGTTGTAGGCGGGAAACTGAAATTTGTTTATTTTGCCAACAATGTCCTTGTTAATGGCTAACATACAGGTGGGCAGTTGTGACGCAGAAACAACGTTAACGCAATTTTGCTTCCTCCGAAATACGCTTTTTTTTGTAGCACTGCAAGAACCAAAGTGATGTTCTACAGGGAGGCAACATAGAGCCATGTACTTTGGTTTCCACCGGACATTTCCGTTTTGTCGTCGCGTAAGTTTTGATCTATATATAGTGTAGATGTACAGAAGAATGTTAAACATTTTCATGAAGTCTCTGCGTTCAGCTGCGTTACATATTTGAAATAAAACACACCGTTGTCACCATGAAATATTAAATATCGGAATTATCGCTGTTTTTCTCTTGCTTTTCTTAATTTAAAAATGCCATGCAGGAGAAAAATATCGCAAGGAACCTAAAATCTCGTGCCATGACTGGATGTCCTTTCCTCGGAACACCTTCGGTAGGTGGAAGAGATATTGGACAGGACGATGCTCAGAATGTCGTGATACGCGGGAACAACAAGTTGTCTGTAGCAATGGCTTTCACGCGAGTTTTGGGTGCTTGTCACATTTTTCTTGTTTGGGCGATCGTGACATGTCTTTGCATGTCATCGCCTTGTCAAAAGAGCCGTGAGCACCTGAAACTGAGCCTATCATTGTTTAAAACCACTATCACAACAACAAGAGAGCACGGCCCCGTCATGTTGTTAGGGCTAGCCCCGCACGACATAGTGCCATACCTGCACGCACACTGTGCCTGGAGGCGCTCAGAGATGGTCCGAACTGCCGTCCCTGTCACCCCGTGTGTTGTAAGTTGTGCCGCCGCTACACGCCCGCCGTCAGCATAGGTGTCAGGTTTAATAGAATGACTCCACTTCGTCCTTTCGTCAGTTTATTGCCGGCTGAGTTGAGATGGCATTGTGATTGATGACCAAATTAACATATCCATAACTTCCTATAGCCAGACAGTAAAAAACAACAAGGAGGGCCGGGAACGTGTCTTGGCAGGACGGTTGAGTCGGGTTCATACATTTTTCATGAGCGTCCGCCCCGCCAAATTTCCCTCCGCTAATAGATGACTCTCTCCTGATTTTCGTTCTGTACTAATGGATTTAGGGTAGTTTTCTGAGGCAAACGGCCGTAGATAATGTTCTGTAGAGTACTGAGCATGGACAAACGCCTGAAGCACGGTTATACACAGTAAAACAGTAACCAGGCGGGCCTCACAGTCACAGTGTTTGTTATATGTTTTAGTTGTGAAGCAGCCAGGATTACATGCACGTTGCTCCCATTCATATAACGGGCATTATGTATACTACTACTAGTAATGTCCCTGTGCCATATACATAGTACCGGAAAGACAGATTCTGCAAGCACATACTAGTAATATACAATCTATAGTATGCGCATGGATTGCCCTTTCTTCCAAGTGGTATTTTCTTGGCAGGCTTACTAGTAAGTCTTTGTTCTGGGATGATATGTAAGGTTACACATGATAGCCTTGTCCATAAAAGTTCCTGTTGCGAACACCACATGTATGTCGTCCTCCCCTTTTGATTTCGCGTCATTGCCCGAAACTTTTCATACGCATCCTTCAACACTCCAGATCGCGAGGTGTACTTGGTTGACGTTGGAGGGCTATTCGCAGATTTTATGATATTTCATATCGCGTGCCCTGAAGAAATTATACGGACGCACCGGTATTTGACCATAACTTTCCTAACCTATAATTCGTACAAAATAGTCACTTCACTACAGAAACCTGCTCAGACTAGTCTTTCATCTTCTTTTACTTCAGCACATCCTCGGTCCACACTGCTCACAATTAGATCATCTCAGCACCCAATCGGAATGAAAGGAGAGGGAAAATTGGCGCCAATTCAGACTCTTTCATCTGGACAATACCAGGGAAGCAGCGGGACATCTTCTATTGTCAGTACATAATGGCGGGAATATGACAGACTCATACATCATACTGAAAGCTTTGTTAAATGTGTTTGGACAGGTGGGAGAAATGGAGGCAGGGTCTATACTAATTCACTTATATCTATATGGGTCTACCTATCTATCTGTCTATCTAGCTAGCTATCAAGCTATCTATCCATCCATCTAGCTGGCTAGCTAGCTATCTGGATCTATCTATCCTTTCATATATCCATCCATCGACTTATCTATCGATACACACAAACACGCAGACGCACACACACACACACACACACACACACTCATACTCACACACACACATACATGCACATACGAACACATGAAGATACTAGTAGATCGATGATATAGTGAATTTCAAGTAGTAAACCTTCTTTAACTCTTTGAATCCTTTTTTTTATATTAGGTTACTTTGTGGTATGTCCGTTTATGTTAAAACCTGTTGTGCAAAATCCATGATTTTTGTACTTATCGCTTTGTTTCGATCGCTCCCAAGAACCGTTAGTGAACTTGTTTATTTATCTTGGTTGGATAAATAAACGGGTGCCGATCGCCGTAAACTATACGAAATGGAAACCTTTGCATTTATACCACGTCTTCTTGGCTGAAATTATTTTTCAGGATGACCTGTGTGTAGCCAGTGCAGAAGCATAGCAAACACAAAATGTCTGCTATCCAATGTCGATTGGTAAAAAGTCGAACAGGTCACAATCTTGCGTCAACATTGTGAGAAATAAACTCGACAATATCTTGTCAAATTTGAAATTGTTATGACTTCTTCCCGTTTAAGGCAATCTGGACCGTGGTCATGCCAATATGGCGATTGTCTTTTCACCTGTGTACCCTGTTCAGAAATACGATGCTTAGAGAGTAAATTTCATCAAACTCACATGGACAGTCGCATCTTTTTTATATATTTTGTCTGACACTTGTCTCTTCCCTCATGACCTCAGTGAAAAGTAACCTGCAGGACGATTTGAGCTTCTCATGAATAAAGAATGGTTCATACAAATAAGTTATAGGAGAGTGGTCGGTGGAGAAGTCGTTGTTAGTCGCAGGAACTCGTATCTACAACAAGCTGTGTTAGTCAATTTTCGTAGCTATAGTCAGTGCCCCCCCCCCCCAAAGAAAACACACACCCCAACCCAGTCGCCCCTTGTACAAGAGACTGTTAATGGTCGTTTACAAAGAAGAGTGGGGAATAAGAAGATAATATCTACGTTTTCTCCCATCGTTAGGAGAAATACGACAACATTTTTCACCACAACACGGTGTCATTATGATTGTCATCAGGCTCTGCTTGACAAGGATTTTCCTTGCACTTACATGTAATAATAACTCACCAAGGACTCTACTTTCTTTATATCAGTTTCTTTTCACATAGCTCACGTATGTGAATTCTTTTGTACCCAAGTCTCTGTCTGTATGTTTAGGTATATCTTACGAAAGTCGCTGCACTTTTGTTGTGTCAATTAAGTTCTTTGCTCCTATAAACACTTACTGGAAGCATTGTACCGCAGGACATATGTTGACAGCTAAACAAACCATTTGAGACAGAATTGAAAACAACGAAGATGAAATAGCATTCATGAACTATCTCTACAATTCGCCTAGTTCAGTATGCAATCTAAACTATGCTTGGAATAAGTTTGGTCTATTGCTAACATCTTATTTGTCAATTTGTTTATGCTTTGAATTACACACATGGGATTAAGTAGGTACTAGTACTAGTGAGAAGGAAAATTTGATCAATGTTTAGATTGTAATAAATTTCAGTATAATACATAAATCGTTAGTAGAAATGTTTCTGTACAAACATATATGGTTTTGCAGTCACTCTGTGTATCACTAGTACACGTATCTTGTTTGTTTCCTAAAAGAGATAGCTTATTGTGGAGAAAGTCAGATGAAAATATTTGAGTCACTATTTCGAGCGTATACAAGATCTAGCATATGTCCGCCATGTTTATATTGACCTGCAGGTATCTTTGTCAGAAGGTACTGCGTGTGTTTTCTTCATCTTTTGCAAAGACAACTGACACTGAGCGCATATACTGTAGGTGATAAGCTCTATATCAGTATCTATATTTAGATGGAATAGGTTTTTTCGTCCCAGCTAACGTTATTTCATCAAATTTAGATAGTCACATAACGTCTTACAATGTTTTGCGTGGCTGATTTCTTTACTTTGTGTGCTATTGTGATCGATGTCAAAACAAAGTGTTACTGCGTCGTGTCTTATTTGTGAAATGGACAAAATGACTGACAACACAAACGGTATATTGAGACATTTTTGTTGAGGATACGGAAAGCAGTATCAATAAATCGAACCAACGTTTCACAGATGGAGCGCCGGTTTGCATTGTAACTCTGACGAGATACAAGTACTTCCAGACGATAGTTCCAGTCAACAGATAACACAATCATCATCAGTTACCTGTCATTGTAAATGCCACTGTTATTGTAATATTCCTCTCACAGGTAACTAGAAAACGTAAATAAATTTTACGTGGCTGAAATATTGAGGTGGAGAGAATGCCGTATCTGTGCATAATTCCCGCAGGTTGATGAGATGTAATGATAAAACCCTGGCTAATAAATGAGAAGAACGCGGCGTCTTTGTTCGCTTGTCTATTGCGTAAATGTCAGGGTTTACATGCCCCCCTCCCTCCCCTACAAGCCTTCTGGTGAAAAAAAGTGAACATCGTACAGTATTGTAAACATACTGATGTTCTGATACTGTCCATGTGAAACATTGAGGAACCAATCATAGTAGAACTTAAAGTAGACGAAACTACACAAATCAATGGAGCCAAACACAGAACACATTGTAGCGTAGAACAAACCACACAAAAGACTGTAGAACTAACATCATGTGTGTAGGACAAAACACAGAATATACTGAACTAGACAAAGACAAATCACACTGTAGAAAAAACTAAAAACACACCGTAGAACCACCAAACATGAAAACTATTATAGAAGCAAACACAGAACATAGAATACATTGTAATCATAACCAACACAGGGCAAACTGTAGAGCAAGAACAAAACATAGAACCAAACATAAAACAGTTACACATTGAATATCACACTTAGAATAAACAACGAAACATGCTGCAGCCTCAACAAAGAAACAGGTGTAGATTTGGAGGACAATATGCGAGAAGAACAGTAATGAATACCATAAAGGTGCTAAATATATGTTTTATATGACGCCGACATTCTGATGCAGCATATGTGAGGTTGTTGTTTATAGGAAGGTCACAGGTGTTAGATCTTAGGCTAGCAGTAGTTAAACGTGAAGTTATAACGGCAATAAACGTGAAACGTTGACACGTGCTGTTGGTCGGGTCACTGAATAGACGCTCATGCCCTACCGTTAAAGTCATGTTGATGTGTATGTGAATGTGAATGTGTCTAGAATTTACATTCACAATTCAAATATACAGCGATTCCACCTCTTCTCTTTCAACAGATAATGAATCCGATGAGGAATTTTCTATTGTTTGTAGATATTCTATCGAAGGGTACGGGCTTGTCACATGGACTGTCTAGTGATAGCGAGAATACGTGGATGGTGGGAAGTATACAACGAAAAAACAGCTAGAAGAAGCCAACAAACTCATCATCGTCATCGAATACAATTCTGTCACTGGACGCCACAATACCTCGAAATTTTTGATTTTCCCATTTTCCCGATAAATAACTTCTCTTGTATACCTATTGAGTGTTGTCTAGCTAATTCTGGATGAACAGCCTTGAAATAGAAAAAAAAATACATATTTCTTATTTATCTCGACAAAAAAAGAGGAGAGTGTAATCAAATGCAAAGACTTGTAAACCGAAATGTGGTTTCCACGAAAAGCTTGCTTGTCTCCTTGACAGTAGTATCTTTCTAACGATGACAT